CTCTTCCGTCGCCCAGTCGTAGAATTCGAGCAAATTGGTGAGACAATTTCGACGCCTCCTAAAGCCGTGTTGAGAGTCCCGAATGAGCGCGTTTCCTTCGAGGAAATCCAAGAGATGGTCCCTTAGTATGCTCTCCATGATCTTCCCTGGGATACTCGTGAGACTTACCGGCCTGTAATTTCCTGGATGACTCTTTTCGCCCTTCTTAAAGATCGGTACGACGTTTGCTCGTCTCCAGTCCTTAGGTACGTCCCCGCGCGAAAAGTTGCTTTCGAATATAATTCTTAGCGGAACCGATATTTCTCTCGCGGTTTCCTTAATGACTCTCGCAGGAATCACATCGGGGCCGGTCGCCTTGCCCACCTTTTCCATCTTTCCCTCGAGTATAAGACGCACCCCCTCATCGAACACAATAAAATATGCAAAAAATGCGCCTTATACGCGAGTAAATACGGTACATTAAGTTAAACTTCCTCATGAACACCAGAGCACATGAAGATGTTTGTTGGCATGCAAAACAGGGTCTATCAATGGCTGGATCTCCAGTCATCCACAGGGAAGAGATATTAGGGTCTGTCGATACAATGGCAACATGAACCTACAAACCTACAGCAACCAATGGAAGGGAAATAATTCCTGATATGAGGGTTTCTGCTTCAATTTCCACAATGATATTATATACATTTGAAGACGCCAAAGATTGATCCCCTGAAACCTGCTCCATTGAAATAATATTTTCCATTAAAATCAGGGGGAAGTTAAGTTAGGTCCCATTACTGATAGCCACTACTGCTGCTTAAGGCAGGTCTCTTGGACAATATCACAGAAACATTCATCAACAAATATTGCATGATGTAATAGAGAGAACATTTACATAGAAGATTTATGCTGTGGAGCATAAGTTAACATAAGAAAAGAGACTATGCTTAATGGTCTGGTTTCTTCCATGTCTCTCCTTCCTCCCTTCTTGAAGCGGACTGCTCGAGGTGGAATGCTCATGATCTCAACATCAGATCATTGGAGGCTTGCCCTTTCTAGCACATGGGGAAGGGGGGGGGGTGGTCAGAATCTAGTAGGTTCGTTAAATTATAAAGCATCTACAGAGCCCTATTTTAAACCTCTTACTTCTGACATCAGGCAGGACAGCAATGAAATGCAAAGTTTCACTTTACCTAAACTTAGCTCATGTCAAACACTGCAAGGTACTTGCAAACTGGCAGATGCTTTGCTCAAGGAAAATACCAAAACTGAGAAAATTTTAGGTATAATGGCTCTATACCTTTCATATTTCTACATAAGTGAAGTCATATACACAATGGAAATATCCCCAACAAATATCAAATCTCTGAACGTCCTGCCCTGAGGGCATGATCAAGATCAGCAATGATATCCTTGGGGTTCTCCAGTCCAATTGAGATTCGCAACAAATTTGTTGTCACTCCCTTCTCATTGTCCTCCTCCAAAGGCAACCAGTTCCCTTCCAAATGCCTGCAATTTTGATGTACAAGAAACATCTTTCATGATGGATATTTCATGATCAAAAGAGGAAACCACAAAAAACCCACAAAGCTCGAATGACAGATGATGTACCACCAAGGCTTCCAGCTTGATACACAAGGTGAAGGTTTTTCATCAGGGATTTCACTTCCTTCTCTCCACCTTTCACATACAGGGCTATCATCCCTGGATATCCCCTGCATTGTTTCCTCAGCAGATCTTTGTATTCATACAAGTCCAGACCTATGGCGATCATAAAAAAAAAAGAAACTTTGATGGATAATCACTGGCAAAATCCCATTCCCTGGCTATTTTCAATTATATTTCCATTTCTACCTGGGTGGATTACTCTTTCCACACAAGGATGCTTCTCAAGGAATTGTGCCACCATCAATCCATTCTCCATGTGTTTCTTCATTCTCAGGGGCAATGTTTGGATTCCCCTCAGAGTGAGATAACAGTCAAATGGGGAAGGTATCCCTCCTGCACCTGTCCCATCCAGTCCATAAATCATGTAAAGTTCATATGATCTGGAAAAGAGTTATTGGGATTAAAATACATAAAACATGGAAGTAGTGGACTGGCCATTCTGGATGAGATATGCAACATCATAGAGTTCCTTGTCATTCATGCAGAGAGCACCCATGATGACATCATCATGTCCATTCAGGTACTTAGTGACAGAATGAAGCACAACATCTGCCCCCAGGCTCAGTGGATGCTACAGATGATATTGTGAAAAAAAACCTAAATGTCATTCATCAATGCTAACCCAATGAGAAGTGTGCAAGCACAGAAGTGAAAGAAGTGTGCAAGCACATTGAAAACTATGTCTCAACTATGTCTATGAATACCATTGCTTACTTCAAATTTCTTCTTTCTAATTGATGGCAGATTGCCTTCATTCTAATTGCAAAGACTAGGTCTGGTTGAGAATTCTGATGATCATGGTCTTGTTGAGGTATTCTTACCATGAAATAGGGAGTAGGGACAGTGTTGTCAACAATGACTTTTGCTTGTGATCCTTTCTCCTTCACTATGTCACATATAGCAGAGATATCAAACATCACCAAGAATGGGTTGGTCATCCCCTCCAGCCATACCAACTTTATCAGGATAATAGAATCACATATTCTAGACTTTACTGCAAAACATAATTAGGAAAACTGAAGACGACTGTCTTCAGTTTTCTCCACTGACCTTAGTTTCAGGAGTGATGGATTGTCTGACTAGCTCCAAGTTGGTCATGTCAATGAAGTTAGTTTTAATCCCTCGCCTGCTGGCAACATTCCGTAAGATGTGAATGGTTCCAGCATAGATATTGTCATGGCATATGATTTCTCCACCGTGCCCACACATCCCATCTGCTGCAGCACTGATTGCTGCAGAGCCTGATGCATACACCAAGGCTGTGCCCAGAATTTGCATAGTATCATATTAAAGTTCTTTTTAAAGAGGTTTAGTCCATCAAGGGCATGCAAGATGAAGGAAGGGACAGACCATATTTGGCCCCTTCGATGGCTGCCAGTCTCTTTTCCAAAGTCTCTCTGGTAGGATTCCCATTTCTGCCATACAAGTATCCTCCCTATGGAGTAGCACAGAATCTCATACAATTGAATTTTTGTTTCTTTTGACAGTTTTGAAGAAAAAAAATGCAAAAAAAAATGCAGACAGAAATCAATCTTGCATTGAGTATCATTAGAGGAATGAATGGTATGCTCAAGAAAATAGCAAAAGGGGCTTACAGGACTGTCAGGATCTGCATATTTGGCAAAGATAGTGGAAAGGGAGATGTGAGGTTCCACTTCCTTGTGGGTCAACGCTGCTGGGTCATGACCTGCATGGATGCACAATGTCTCCATCTTGTCACCTGGATCTGTCATGCTCCAATCCCCCATGCTTTCTTTCCTCTCAAAGAGATCCTCTGAGATTCAGAATGGACTTCAATACTGAGAGATCATTCAACGGCACACCAACACTAAATAAATATACTATGAAATCTAATAATTGGAACTCACCAACTCAAGAGCCAAAGGAAAACAGATTTGATTCTCCTCGCTCTAAAGATTAAATGAAGGTAAAGCATAAGATACAGTCTGGGGACCATCACTCCCCAATGATAGTCATGTTGACATAAATGGTTTGATGTGACAGTCATGTTGACTGCATTACATGAATTCCAGAGTTGTTCATTGACAGGTCAGGGACTTCGTCAGAGACACTGACACCATGAGTAAGCTCTCAAGATCATTTCAATGTCAAATTTACAGGTAGATGGGAAATGGGATTTAGAGAAACACCAGTCAACATTTCCATAAAAAGGGAAATATATATCCAATATTATAACTTTTTTCTTCCTGGCTCTGTGATATTACATGCAGTATTTAGGAGAAAAGTTATGGAGCTGAAGATAAGAAACCACCTTCATGATTATGCATGCATAAATTCAAGATTTTAAAATTCTTGGCACAAGAGATAAAATACTGAAATAAACTTTTTACAAATTGTAAGCAAACTTTATATTTCAACTGCATCTGTGATATTGATGGGATTAAAACTTTGAACTAACTTCTAATGTTTCACTGCAGTGTATTGACTTCCTCAACTCCAAAGGAATACTGTCACTGTTACAATGAAAACCATGAATATTTCACTTTCCACTATTGTCATGTGATAGAAAGAGATTCTGGGACAAGCAAGAAGGGGACATGAAAAAAATTAGATGTTCCACGCATTCTCAAATTATTCCTTGAGGGTTCAGAAATTTCATTTTAAAAAATTATTCCTCCGAATACCAATTTTGCAAGGAGAATTATGCCTAAATTGTATTCCTACAAGGAAGGCACAACATTATTGATAATAGATTTGAACCATTTTATCAACTAGGTATTATAAAGGCTAAGGAACTATTCATCATGGGCCACAAATTGTAACTCAAAAGTATTCAATATTAAATACAAAATAATAAAAGATGACATGAAGAGCATTACCACTGGAACAAATTGCTGTGGCTGCAATGAGGCACTTGCAGTGAAGAGAAAGGGAATCAGCCATCACCCAGCCCTGAAGGCAGGAAAAGAGATGAGGAAATTCATGTGATCCATGACCACAGACTGAGAACATCATGACATCTGAGGCAAAAGAGAGGAAATAATGCACTCTTTCTCCTTAACACTCCACTGGTTAAGTAGGCATTGCATCATCCTGCAATGAATGTGATTTGTGCAAAGCCCTGGACAATGCTATGAACAGGACTTGTTCAGCATCCCCACCTCCCACATGGCATCCATAACCACCACTCAGATGGTTGTTGGGCACCTGCAAATGTGCACAGGAGTTGAAACATCTCAACCAGGAGCATTTCTAAACTGAGTCTACATATGTGTTTACAAGTTGGCACTTGTAGGAAGAATCCCTGGATTTTGAATGGGATTCACAAATTTGCACCCTTGTCCAGGAAAGACAGCCCAGTGTATAATGATGAGGCCAAACAGATTGATGCAAGTAATATCAGGTTGTAAAGGTGAAATTTAGACATTTTGATTTTTTCTAGAAAAATCTGGAAAATGTTAGAACTTTCTATGTAGGTGTATAAGTAGAGTGACCAGTGGGCATTGTGGGCGTNGATGAGGCCAAACAGATTGATGCAAGTAATATCAGGTTGTAAAGGTGAAATTTAGACATTTTGATTTTTTCTAGAAAAATCTGGAAAATGTTAGAACTTTCTATGTAGGTGTATAAGTAGAGTGACCAGTGGGCATTGTGGGCGTGAGTGCTTATCGTGAACCTACAACAGATACATTGACGCAAGACTGCACTCTAGTCATTGTTGAGTTAATTGTCAATAAATTGTTTTCTGGAATATGTCTAAATTTCACCTTTACAACCTGATAATAAAATTCATGCTGGCAGAGTATACAACAGGAGGATGTGGCAGAGATCCAGAATGTCCCCAGAAAATTTGTGGGTTTATAAGAAACGATGTAAATGACTGTGGATCATGCAGGATTCTACACCAGCCATATCCAAGTGGTTCATATTTCCCAATGCATTAATGCATCACAATTGGTTTGTGCCAATGCATAAATGTCAAAAGCTGCTGTTGTGAAAGCCCTAGTTATAAGAAGTATGCAGGTTGCCAAGCAATCTATCATCCTGTAGGGATCCTGAGTTATTTTATTATCAACAAACAGAAAACTGGTGCCATTCACATGTCCTTTCTCTTTCCTTACTATCTTAGCAATATCCTGGGTGAGATGAAAAACAGGAAAAATGTCAAGGGCCCAGCATTTTCCACTTAGTTTTATGTCCAGTTCACCAACAAATTCTTAACTGGAAACATGGAGAAATGTCCCCTTTTTGTGGAAAAAGAAGTGGAAATGGAAACCTACTGTCTTCTTCATAGCTCTCATGGATGTTTGTTTCCTTATGGTTTTCATTAGCCTAAAAAGATTATTACATCAAGAAGCTCAAAAATGGAATGAGAATGAGCCTAAAAGGCAGTTTATGGGATGCACATACCTGAGGCCCAATATTGCCAAGTGCTTCATTTGATAGGTTTACCATGAGCACCAATTAGCTTCATTGGTCCATTATTGGTGTGCAACCACTGGTCCAAAGGTAGAAGGACCAAGCATCCCTATCATTGGCCAGCTAACGATTGCCCATTCTTGGAGTGAACTGGTGATCCAACCATACAGATCCCTTAAGCAGTTATTTACTTTTGGGCCAAAATAAATCAAAGCTGCACTACTTCAAGATCAGTCAATGGTCCATTTAGTTGGGTGTATACAAATGATGCATTAAGAAGAAAGCAAAAATGGGCCTCTGGTACTCGTGTAAATTTTCAAAATTCACTGTACAGATATGGAGATGCAGCCTTCAGCTGACCAAGTGCTTCTCCAGTGCAGGAATAAACATTCTTGGCATGTCTGGATATTTTATTTCTTTCACTAAGAAAAGGTTAACCACTGTTAGTATGAATGCACAACAAAATTGTAGTACAAGAGTACCACTGTTCAAAGAAGTCCCTTGATTTATCTAGCCTGAACAAGAGAAAAAGAAAACGGACAACAATCAATCTTATGTGTGTAGACATTGCCTCTTAGTCACATCTCTTTGCATCTGATAATACATCTTCAGCACACCTATTGATGGTTTTCTCCAGAAAACTGAAACATCTTGCATGTGGAGGAAGCATGACAATAAATTTTATATTTTAACCTTAAAAACTTTTTCCTGGACATGTAATGGTAGATTCTTCAAGTATTAGTACTCTCTTCTGTAGTTTCCACTTCTATCACTCCCAAGATGGCCTTTCCAAATTGGCTCCCTCTCAAGTGCAAGGTTAACAAATGACATCTCAAGTAATTAAAAAATTATACCTGAAGGCTTAAAGAAAATGCAAACATTCCAAGCAGAATTAATGAGTCAATCATCCATATGAAATCTGGGAACGTTTGCCTTTCCCTACAAATCATAGTTGATGCCATTTTCTTGTCCTAACTCATTCATAAAATATGAGAGTCTTGAATGAATTCCGATCACAAGTGTCTCTCTTTCTGAAATTTCTTAATACAATTACAGTAGGGGCTTATGGGAATGTTGGGGTTGAATAATTGATGAAGATGCAGGGTTCCACTTTCACATGGGTCAAAGCAGCATGGGTGCAAAGCATCTCCATCTCATTTGGATCTGCATGATCCAATCCCTCAAGCTTTATTCTTCCTGAGAAGACTATCTAATACTGGTAACAGACCTTTAGAAAGAGAGAATTTCCTCAGCATACAGACACTAAGTAAAGAAAGCAAGCATGCAATTAACACAAATGGGAGAGACTCACAAACTCAGAAGCCAGAGAACAGACTGATGCCCACCTCCCAAAAAACCAGAGCGAATGAGGCAAGGCTATGTGAAACAGTCTGGGGAACATCATTCCCTGATGACAACTATGCTGACCAGTATATGTTTGATGTGAGTCATGGTCCAGAGCTGCTCAGGGACATTGATAATCAGGAGCATTAACAGCATTAGTATGCTGTAAATTTCATCTCCATGTCAAGCTTGCCCAAGATGCAATATGGGAAAAGGGATTCAGAGAAACACCAAGGTCAGTATTTCCATAAAAACAGGAAAATATATTTAATATAATAATATATTCAGCCATAATTCTGTTTTTCTGGCTCCATGATAGACTTCCATACAGTACATTGGGAACAAGATCTGAGAGATGAAAAGAAACCAAATACATGCCTTTGCACTCTTTTTAACAATTCACATGATCCAGATTCTTCAAACAAATGGAACTGGTACCTGAATCAGTCTTTTACTCGCTGTACAATAATCTAAGTACCTCAGCAGTAACTGCAAAGACAAGTGAATTCTAAAATGTTAACAAACTCTAGACCTTTCAATGGAAAAGTTTTGATTTCCTCACCTCCAATGGGATCTTGCAACACTGAAAACAACAAATATTCCACTGCCCATATTTGTCATGTAAGAGAAACAAACACAAAAAGGGTGGAAAAGAGCAGACACTTCAGACAGTCTCAAAATACTTCCTGAGTGCTCTTAGCATTCAGTAAAATCTGGGTTGGTCCAAATATCAAGTATGCAGAGGGAACTCTGCTTTAGCTGCATCCTCACAAGGGAAGGCACCATATAACCAATATAATTTTATCAACTATGAATTTTTACGAATTCAACACAGGGACAGACTTCACAAATGGTTCAACACAGGGATCATACCAGACAAAACTCAATACTTGATAATTAAAAAAATTCATGCATCTAAAGGAAGGATGTGAATTTCTGGGGTGTACAGGATAGGTTGATTGTAGGACTCCACTCCTGGCATTTTGGTAAATGGAGATCATATCTTGAAATCAGAATAAAGCAGTCTGACGAGGGATCGTGCACCCCTCCCGGTATCACATGTGGATATTTTCCCGGAGCAAAAAAATAAAGAAGGGTATACGGCTGACACGAGGAGCAAATACCAACGGAACAGATTGCACCGACGGCGATAAGGCACTCGAAACGGGGATTTAAAAAAAAAAAACCGAAACTTCTCGGCCATCACCCACAGAGTCGGAACAGAACTGATGAAAGCGATCACAGATCGAGAGTCCCGAGAGAGCGTCACCGCAGCCGAGGCACAAGAGAAAACCCACACACTCTTCCCCCCCTCCCTGAACCGGGGCCTAAGTCCACGTCCATCCGCGACGAACGCCATCAGCGGAACGGAAGCCCTCGGCGATGGCACGGGGGAGACCCACCCCCCTACCTGGCACCGCTCAGGTGATTGGGCGCATCGGCGAACATATATTTGAGTCGAAACGCCTCGGCCAGAAGCATTCCAATGTCCTTGTCCGTCCATGCCTGAGTCGGTAAGTTCTGCAGCAGCAGCATCAAACCCTGGAATGCGAGCAACGGGATTCATAGAGTCTCAACGTTTCCTCATTGAGAAGAAACAAGCCCAAACGATAAGGCCGTGTCGTCAGATGAAAAAAAATATATAAATAAAAATAAAACTCTTACAGACGGAGAACTTGGGGGAAAAATTCGGCAGAAAGTCATTATGACCGTTTTACATCGTCAAATAGGAAGCAGGAGCACTTTCAAATCGGATGATTAGGACTATGGGATTCTTGCCAGAAACAGAATCGCGATACCGAAAAAATAAAAATCGAGTTGAAATCTTGGGGTAGATTTTTGAACAGAGAACTGTCAGATAATGCAGCTTTATTTGCAGGTAATATAATGTATTTTCCCTGAAAGAAAGCTGTATTACCGGATCAAAAACCAAAAATCCACCCTTGGAATCCATTAAAAATCGACCAGGCAGGGGAGAAAATCCTCCATCATCCTCTATGAACAGTAAAACCCAATTACGCAGAGGGCTGTCACGATCCATCGATTTCTGCATCAACCGACTGAGAAAAAGAATCGCGTCAGAATGAAATTTTCATGGAAGCGCAAGTGACGACGGGCCGGTACGGACCATGAAACCCACTGGCATGGAACCAAGACCCCCTCCCCGCAAGCCACCAATGTCGATGCCTCCCCGATTTTTTTTAATACCTTCCGCAGTCGCGACAGCCCCAGTCGCTCCAAGCACGTAAGACGCCAAGCGACCTCGCGTCTTCTTGGGATTCTCTCCAACCCCCCCAAGTTCTCCGTCTGTAAGAGTTTTATTTTTATTTATATATTTTTTTTCATTGGTCCCCCCCCCCCCCCCCCCCCCCCCCCCCCCATCCTTTCACAATAATCTCCCATCCCTGAAGAGAATGAAAAAAAAAAGAAACCAGTCAGGCCGGCGCCTCTCATATTTCCCCCGGATTTTCGAGACGAAAAAAATTTTCCCTTCAAGTCTTGGCACTATCAAATCTCAATAAATAAATAAAAATGAATTCCTCAGCCATACAGGAGCTTAAAGACAGACCTCGAACATATCTTGTCTATGGATACGCAGCCAGAGATAACGGAGACGTTCGTGGAAACGAATCCATTGTAGCATGCTCGTTGAAGTACATGCCGTAACGGACAGTATGACGACTCTTCTATTCTTCACTTTCATACAAGTAAATACATCGTCAGGACAGAACAAAGAGGCGAGGCGAGCACATTTTGCCTGAGGCTTATGGGTTCTTACTAATTCCTTTTTGTCCGGTCAATGAAAAATGAGCGAGGGTATGGAAGTTCTGTCCAAAATCTTGCCATTGCTATTTCTCACGATGGATTATGGGGATTGGACCCGGTCCAAACCTTCCCTGCCAGTGGCACACGGTGACGCCGAATCCCACGAAAAGGGTTTCGCGCATGCACGGGCGACTCATGACTGGTCCATTCACAGGTGGCTTTATTTTCAACTCGTTCCCGGGTTCCACTTCCGCTCGAAATGATCCGTTCGTCGATAATGTCGCATGAATGGGTTACCCTCGATTTCCTGCAGTTACGTCGAATTCAAACTTATCGGCAGATCCGCACAGCCCTGGAGTCCATTCAAATAATTTCGTTTCCATTCCAATCCAATCCACTCTATTCCATTCCGTTCATTCCAATTAAATCTTATCCAATCCAATCCAATAAAAAATCCATTTAATCAAGAATATTCGATCGTCCTATTTTCTTCGACACACATCCACATTGCGCCACTACGACTGACCTCAGACAGCGACCAACCACAAATAAAGGCAGTATTCATAGTTTCATATCCATCACTTCAGCAACTATTCAAACTGAATTTAAGGCTCTATGCATCCATCCATTCTGGGAAAGGGAGTCACAGATGACTTTTTCTCTTAATTGCAAAATTCGATGACTAAAGACATAAAAAAAAAGAATTAGGAGACCAGGCACCCACCCACTGTTCAAAAAGGTGTTCATGTCAAGTTATAGAATGAACAACTGACACAGGGATGATATGCAAGAATCCAGGTTCATCAACTGTCAACAACCCCTCCCAGAATGTGCATGGGCCCAAGTTGGCTTCCTATGCCACTGTCAAGTCTTTGGTCAGACTTGTGAGAAATTGATGCACAGTGTTTCACTTGAGTCAAGCAAGAAAAAACCTTAATTGAGGTGAAAAATACAATGAAAAAGAACAGAGAGGGTAATAAAAGTACTCCAACCTGTGTACTGATGAAATGGCCTACCACTATGTAAGCACACTTTCTAATTTTTTCAAGGTACTTTTTTGCAATAGACAGGACTGACCTGAAAGTCACGTTCCCGGAGGAGGTCTGCATTCCAGTGAATGAGGAAGGCAGCACAGACATAGAGATGGAATGTGGCAAACCCATCTTTCTCTGCCAGGTAAGTGTCCCACAGGCGAATGGTGCAGCGAAGTGGAATCTCCCGCATCAGCAGGTTGTTCATCCACCGGAATGAAAACTGGAGATAGTCGATCTCGTGCTGACACAAGTGTTCATGCAATGAAACTGAAAAACCCAAAAACCAGCTTATTTCAGTTCTCTCTCTAAATCAGTCATTGCAGCAAGATCAGATGGCTTAGTCTTGTAGTATCCAATCCCACCATCTATTCTCTGAATGAGCTCCTTTAGTTGAAAGACTTTGTTCTGGATTCCAGGCTGAGCAAAGGTGTAGTTGTCTTGAATACCATCCAGGAGATGGCTGAGGCACCAATAGCTATCTGCTTCTATCTGCTGCAGTGCATCATGATAAAGCTTCCTTACATCATAGTTATCAATATCATCATCTGAAATATAAAAAAAAAGGTGCTCATGCTTATTTTATCTCTACCTGATTCATAAACTATTTGCCTCAGGTCCACGTGAAAGAAAATGAACTCACTGGGCAAGAGAAATTCTTGAAGGAAGACGACAAAAATTGGGGTCACAAGGTCATTGATTCCCTGAACATAGCCAGAAGCTGGATGACGGATGGCCCAAATGAACAGAATCCGCTCAAATGTATCTTGAACAAGATCTTGTTGGAACAATGGAATAAGTGGGGCCATTCGTGGAATATCAATGTGAATCTGCCGGAGGGGAATGGAGCAAATGGGAGAACATGGGAGTGCAATGAGCTAAGGCATAGTAATTGGACAGCTTTAATTGCAAAACAACTAACTTCCATGTCAGTGTTCAAGTATAGAGGAAGGAGAAAAATCTCACTCGTTCTATAAAAAATATTTACCTGTCTATAAGTGTCAGCATGAATCTCCTCCAGTCGAGAGTCATAGTATTGTTGGACGTAACTCCAGTATTCTTCCCTTTTCTTGCGATAGATGGTATCCCATCGATCCTTATTAGGTGGCAAATAACCCTGCAAGAAGAACACCTCTCATGCTCTCATTCACCATGGTTTGAATTTGAAGACATGTTCAGTGAAAGCCTCCTATAAAACTCACAGCCAGTATTTTCCAAGTGATTGGACGGACTGAAGTTGGTATCCCAGACCAGCTGAGCTCTCTCAACTCATGGAGATTAATGTTGGGTCCCTTGAGAATGGCCTGAAATTTTTCATGCCTTCCTAGCTCCCTCTCTTGCTCTCCCACACGACTCACTCCTATGTCATATCAGGCACATTAGAAGGCATTATCAAATGCATGAAAAATATACATGCCTGGAAGGAGGGCAGAGCAAAGGGCACAGGCACAGCAAAGCAAGAGCAGCACACAAACCCGACTGATAGCCGACCCGCGAGGGAAGCTGGTTCGGTGGAAGGGAAGAGGGAAGATAATGTTCTGATAGGGGTCTTGGATACCCAGGGTATTGTTTCAAATGGTCATGACTTGTAGGCTGGGGCTGTGATGTCGTTCCCAAAAAGGGAGAAGAATGCTGAGGTGAGGGAGGTTCTGGAACAAGCCATAGTGTTGAGAGTTGGTAAGCATCCCTCATATCACATGCATTTCCTTTGAACTGAATTCTGTAATTCTCCTTTACATTAAAAGGGCCATTGAAAAACCAGTCTTTTCTACATTGAAGCAATGGCAGAAAGCGATTGCATATGGTCCTTTACAAGATACAAGTTTGCTAGATGAGAACTCCCATCTTTTTTACATTTAAGCACATTGGACTCAAGCAGTTTACCTCGTTGAGATGCAAGACGCATCATGGCTTCTGTTTTGGCCTTAATGGAGGATGCCTTTCGTGGACTGGAAACAGAGGACTTGGAAGGGGACTCCTCTCCCTTTTCCAATAGCTCTTCCTGTTCACAAAGACCTTGATGGGTTTCCAACACCTTCATGGCAGTGGTTTGAGCAACCTGAGGTTGAATCTTCGGGTCTTCCATATGAATAAAAAAAATAAAACCCAAGACCTTGATCAACATCCTTCATTTATGGCAACAGGTTTTTTTTTAAAGGTGAAAAATACCTGAACCAGAGAGTTTGCAAAATTCATCATCACCAATATCCCAAGCATCTTTAATGCTCTCTTGAAAATCTTGAAAAGAAATGCCCTTTCGTCCCTTTCCTCCTTCTTTGGCAGGACTTGTGTGACTGAAAAATATTTAAAAATTTACTTATATTTAAAAAAGAGCAACATCTTTAGGTAGGGGGGTAAAATGGTAAAAAATACAAACACCTCAAGGTCAAGTTGAATGTACATTAAGTTAGTTCAGATGAAACCTTTGCATGTCAGAGTTGCTGTTTAACCCTACCAGATTATATACTAGGCCAACAATAGGCCTGAGCCTAATTTAAGTATGACTATGCCTCAGTCCATCAGTTATAAACCAAATCTACAAGTGAAGTTCAATATAAATCTAATATTTTAAAATAATTCTAGAACATACACCTGCATAAACAAGTAAATTATAGCATCTGATGTTTGGTCGATGCTGCTTCTAATAATTCAAATATTTCTTTAAATAGCAGTTAAGCCACAATCTTGAAACATAATTGTTACATTATTTCAAAGAAGGCATACAGGCCCAGGCCAAGGCCAATAATAATTTACACTTAGGCTTACAAGAGGAACACTCCCAACAGGAAATTAAAATTGGCAGCACAAGCAAAATACCATCACCCCTGGTTTCAATACCCAAGAAGTAGCATGAAAGCATAGGATTAACATATGGACTACTTCAGCTCTCAGTACCTTGCTGAAGATAGTTTGGGAGGAAAGTGTGCACCATACACCGGCTTGATGCTGAAAGTCAAAAAAAGAACACAACACGCCATTCACAAGTCAAGCTTCAACCCAATACAAGGCAACTAGGCTACCAGAATGACTGCCAGATTAAGCATGCAAGCCATGAAGTAAAAAATCAAGCTACAGTCACACAAACCAGGCCTAGGCCTTCTGAGATGAAACAACTGCTAGTGAATAGTTACTGGATTAGCCCACTCACCTTCCAGGGACATTCTTGGAATTCTTCTTCCAGAAACTGTTTTTGTCACTTGTAGGCCTACTCATCTGAGGATCAAATTAATAACATTTATTTAGTGATGGTAGGAATAGTGAAAGGAAAATCCAATCAATCAACGGTACGTTGTCACACCCCTCCTGTTTCACCACACCTCTGAATCCATCCCTCTTTATTCCAGCCAATGTTAAAAATGTAATTTCTAACGTTACAGCCTCGGACTACGTGGGAAAAAGTTGCTGAGCTAATGAATTTAAATTTTTTCGCAGCCGGAACTGGATAACGCAGTGCATAAGAACGAGGAGCATCTGACTAAGCACCATCTGGCTAGGCATAAGAGAAGGATAGAGGGAAGATGAAATGTAGCCCCAAAGTAATGAGGAACGATGAGGGCATGGTGACATAACGAGCCATACCCCAAGAGACTATACTTATGACCAATTCAGTCCTCTCAGCGCGAACACGAAGATTGCACTGTCATTTAACGAAAAGGGTACTTCGTCGCTTCAACCTGTAGGCATCCATGATGGAATAGGGCCGGAAGGTTCATCAGGGTTGCCAAAAACGACAATTCATAATCTAACGGAAAACTAAAAATTATTTTGCAGTTTCATTCCTATATATTTATTCTATTAAAAATTCAATGCTTCTTTCTGTCCTTTTACGCTTTATTATAAAATCTACTGGATTTATTTTCAGGTACATTAGCGTTAGAATTGGATCCTCTGTCCTGATTGGATCTTGCAACCTTTTCACCAACTCATCAACATTCAAACGCGTGGCCGCCGCATGGATAAGCAGAAATTCCTAACATCGCTTTTAGCAGTCCTTCTTACCCCTGTTGCTGGACAAAACGGTGAGTTTAAAGTAGTAATACTTGCCCGTTAGTTCTATTAGAGCCTATTTGATATCGTTTGACAATCCTCGATTCAGTGAATCCATCTTTGAATACATGGAAAGAAGTGAACGAAAGAGTGCCTGTCGTCGAGGACCAAGTAACGCCGAAATTCTTAGTGTTTGGGTCCCTGAAAGACACGATTCAACACGTTCGACCCAGAAAGGGTGCGTTTTTGGTCCCAACGCCCAACTTCACCGGATCCGCACCGGGTCGCCCACATTTGCCGAATGCAGGCAGAACCCAGCAAGACAGTCATTGGAATGTTCTTCAGCCCGGCCGCCAAAATGTTCCAAGCTCTGAACAAGGTGAGATTTAATGCGATTGTCCACTTCTGTTTCGTGCAGCCAAAGCACATCAATTTGTGAATATGCTACATTGTCACTGAATGACTCCTTTACACCATCCTGTGTTTCACCCGTAAATTATTTAGAATCTCCGAATGAGTTCTTATATTATTATTTTCTCAATCTTTCCTAAATTATTTGGAGCATAACGGATGACGAGAAGAATTTCAACTAGTTATCGTTTATTCAAATCCAAAATGTGTTCTATTTCCACTTTCATTTTAATTTTTAGTTAATTCTCAATTCTCATCGTGCCCTCGTTTGGCTCCAAAAGCCCTGCAGAGCCTCGCAGCAGCGAATCCCCTTGAGAGGACGAAGCACTACATCACCCCGCTCCTGCTTGGACTGGACGACGAGGGAGCGGACGAGGTCGTCGGTTACATCTCGCAGGTCCTGCACTCCAGAAAGTCGGGAAGTCTCGGGAAAGTCGAGAACTCGGGGGAGCACACCATGGATGGAGTCGAAACACGCATCTCTTCTGAATCCGATCGACAATCTCCAACGAATGGACCTGCTCTGCATCCCAACCGACCGAAACCCAGTGCATTCAATCCGCCACCCACGGTTCCAGTGGGCTATCGACCCCTGAATCACCTCGCACGGATAGAGCAAGCCATCGCCGATCTCTCCAGGCGGCAGGAAGAAATGGACGGGGTATTCAAATGCATTTCGTCTCGCGCCCAATTTTCCTCCCCGGATCCGGAGATCAGCGATGCGGAAGTGGAACCGGGCGCAGCGGACGAGGACATCATGTCCGGCTGAACTAGATGTTCTTCTGGACTCACGAGGCACGAGTGGAAATGCAAACTGAATGAAAGTTCTGCTTCCGTGAACGATCGAACTTTTTTCATGTGTACCATGAAGTAGAAGGAAACCAGGCACTTGGTCATTAAAAATAAATGGTGTGACAGTGAAGTGAACTCTTTCCATTAATTAAAAAAAAATTTTAATTAACATCTGTCATCCCTTCTGCATCCTGCAAGAAAACCACACAGGTATGTGAACTTTACATGTGATATGTAATCTTTCGCCATTCAAGCACTGGCTCACAAGATTTCTTTGTACCATTTAGCGTGCACTGCTCCATATTCAAATTTTAAGAAGTTGGTAAGCATGGAAAACTTGAATTGTGAATTGTGAGTGATTGATTCCGAAAGTCAAACTTTCACCGAATATAAATGTTCCAAAATGGTTTTATATCATTAAAAACTTATTTAAAATAGCATGTTAAGCCAGAGGTACTTTTGCTTTATGTCCCTCGTGAAGGTATTGGGTTGGAAAGAAAGTCTTGCAACACTTTCTAAAACTATTTATAAAAATTTTCAAAGGAATGATGGGCGGGGCTATGGCATACAATGGCATCATTGTAGACTGAAATTGCATTTCAATAAAGTTATAAAATTTTGACAAATTTGCGCAGTGTTGCAAGACTTTCTTTCCAACCCAATAATATTCACTGCCAGTCATTTTGATCTCCTTAATTTTTTTAGGAGACAAAATTGAGGAAAGTGTGCATGACAGGAAGAACCATCACCAAATAGATGACTACCTGAGGTATATGAAAATTTTACATGTAGAGGCACAGTTGAATGCACGTGTTTTGCAATCAAGCACATGTACAGTAAATGCATAATTCGCCACTATATAATGACCCCGGCAAGTCCTCCGTGACATGCCCCCACGGTAACAGCATCATCACCTCCTTCCTTCGATCCAGGCACAATGACGTCTCGAATGCCAGCCCGAAGAGAACGGGTTACTCGTCTCGTAGAAAAATCCCCCCCCCCCCTTGAGACGAACTCGGACCGCTACTCAGAGATACACAGGTTGACATCCTGCATCGAACTGCACCGGTCTCGAGGGACCGGAGACAAAAATGAAATATTGAGCCATATCTTAACACGGCTATCAATCTGCCAGTGCAGCCTCCATAGTATCGAAAGGGACCTTAAGGCGATTAGTTCCGGTCAAAACAATCGAGAGGACACGAAGAAAAACAAAACTACCTCATCGCGAAGCGCGCAGTGCAAGCAGAACCGACGTGGGGGGAAAAAGGTTCGTTGTTGAATCAAAGTTACGAGTACCATTACTTTATGTCCTTTGGGAAGATAACATTCACCACCAGTCATTTTGATCTCCTTAAAATGTCACTGTAGTAGGTACAGTATTACTTCCCATACTTGGGGTAACAATGGCCCTATGGTTGAGTCCACTTTACTCCCTTCGACATCATGTCAACGCGTCGAAGTAGGGGAAAATTGTTGACCCTTCAAGAACAGCAGGCCATATGCAAAAATAGGGGAGGACAATTCACGACACAGCGCGGATTTTGATGGTCAGCCCGGCATCAGTTTCTAACGTTCGGAAGAGGAAACAAGCGAAGGTGATGGAGAAGAGGGGACAGAAGAGGATCCGCTTTTCGGCTATGGATTCCTTGGCTCCTTGTCTTGGTCGAGCGTTCGTAGCGTGAGGACGTGTTGGAGGTTACTCTCGAGGTTCT